CTCGCGCAAATTGTTGTCCATGGAGATGAGTCGACCAAGGTACATAACGGTCGCTATCCGGTAGAGCAGTGCCTTCGAGTATGATGGGTGACGCATCTGCCCACTCGTTGCGCATGACCTCGGTCTTGCTCCGGTTCATCGTGAGGCCAATAGCTTTGCCGACGTTGTTCAGTTCCTCCACCATCCGCTGTAGCTCTGCTGAGTTTTGACTGATAAGGACAATGTCGTCTGCGAATCGTAGGTTAGATAGCTTCTTTCCGTCGACGTTGATGCCTTTATCGTCCCAGTCGAGTTGCAGCATCGCGTGGTTGAGTGCGGTGGTGAACAGCTTGGGAGAGATCGTATCACCTTGTCTGACTCCTTTTTCGATCGGCACTCGTAGCTCTCGTTGAAAAATGCGGATGGTGGTAGATGTGTCCATGGTGCATTTTTCCAGCAGGTTTATGTAGCACGGGTCGACACCAGCATGGTGCAGCGCATTCCAAATAGAGTTCAGTTCCACATTGTCAAATGGTTCCATATAGTCGAAGCAGAGGAGGAGCGGCTGCTTGTATTCCTTGGTTCGCTCAATCAACTGCGTGACAGTATGGATGTGGTCCATGCAACAGAAGCCCTTGCGAAACCCGGCCTGTTCCACTGGTTGATATTCATCCAGTTGTTTCTCGAGCCTGTTGAGGATTACCTTCGTGAACAACTTGTATGGCTGCGAGAGGAGGATGGGACGGTAGTTCTTCATTAGGTCGCGCTCGCCCTTCTTGAACAGAAGAACCGTGCTTGACGTCTTCCACTGGTCCGGGACCTCTTGCGCGTCCATGTACCTGTTATAGCGCCTGGTGAGCTGTTTTATGACGGTATGGAATTGTAGCTTGTTTATTTACCGATCCTCGGGTAGCTAACCTTTTGAGGTGGTATGTACCTCCACTGTTGGCCGGGATATTCCCGTTTCGCCCCCTCGCCACTTCGAGGCCAGTGGTAGGATTTTGAGGGGGGACAATGCCTTTAAACTCATTACTTTAAGTAAAGCAACTTGCTTTGAAGGGTTATAATTTCCTAAAAGGCGGAACGTTGGAGAAGAGGAACACGCGGTCGTAAACAAAATGATTTGAGGTTCCCGAAAAGTGCTAAAATGTTTATAAGGCCAAATTTAGAGAGGAATTCAGCTTGAGGATTAGCTGGGGATCCTCGGAATTGGATACAAACTGTAATGGTTTGACCGAAGTTAACTTTCTAAAAACTTGACTATTTACAAATCCAAAACCATTGTCGAATATTAAAAGATCCCTCTTTTTAAAAACCACTTAAGTTGTTTCAAAGTTTTCGGAATTCATGAGATAATCGCGTTGGGGATTTTCTAAAGAAAACTCCGAGCTACTCGGAAAACCCGTTTTCTCATGTACCGCTTTCAAGTGGGCGTATTCGGATATCCAGGAATGCATCTAGAATGCATCCCTTCGTGGAATAGGAACAAGCAGTAGTTGGTTTAGCGCCCATTAGCTTCATTTCTGGATGCGCCATGCTTAGGCTCCCACGCAGAGGTAATGGGATGGTGCAGTTCCACGCAATGCCTGTCTACACGAGCAGATGTGTTAATAGGATTCAGGGAGGTCCATGCAGGGCACGCCATCGTTGTGATCATCACAATAGGGGGGGGTCGTATTTGACCTCGAGGGGGGTCGTAAGCGCGGGGACCTTTCTGAAGTGAGGGTGCAGCGATACCCAGATGTCGTTCAGCTTCAATGATGAAAGACTTATCCATGTGAAGAACCCCTGAAGAGACCCACACAAGACAGAAGCACCTGCCAGCGCAGAAGTGGGAAAAGGGCGATGACAGGAAATACGATGGCCGCCCACAACGACGTCAAAAAAGGATAAAGGGGAAGTCTCCGCGTTGATCAACCCCTTTGTGGGATGCGGCACGCATTCTACTTCCATTCAGAAGAGGCTATTGAATGCGATGTGGCCTATACAATGACTTGCGGGCCAGCCGATGTACAAGTCAGTGTTTTATCCTCCCAGACGAATCTGGTACCAATTCACCGTCCCCGGAGGGTAGAAGGCTTGGTTGGCCTGGGCGGGAGTCGACCCGGGATTTGAACCCGGCATCGCGCGAGTGGTAAGCGCGCCACTTGTCACTACACCACCTCCGCGCCAATGAATATCCGCCATGAATTAATAAACAGATGGAAATACACTTCCGGACCTTTCTATCGCAGAAGCACATCTACTTGCACGGAGGAAGCCCTTTCTAGAAGTTGCACCTTCCCAATACCTCTGCGTGAAAGCGCTATGCATGGCGCATTGCAGAGGTGATGCCAATTGGCGCCCAATGAACTATTTCCTGATATCCTTGGCAAAAACATGCGTTTCAAAGCATACCAAAGTCTTTAAGCCAAGCGGAGGTTTTATGGCGTTAGGGGGGTTGATTTTTCGTGTCGTGGGGCAGTGATCTTTCTGTGATCACAACGGGGAATTTTTTCGAATAGCAGGCCTAGGGATAAAATGAAAGTTTTGCTGGAAAGTAGAAAGCTTCATGCTTCCGGCACAGTTTTTTTTTTACGAAAGGCCTGTATGAAGCTTGCCATGGATGTCCAAAGCGTAGCGACTTGTGGTTGGCCCCCATGATCACAAGAGGATCACAACGGAGAAAATTTCTTAAAAGGATATTTTTTGAAATCGCTCAAAATCAGGTAACAAGTGCCAACCTAGTTCCCCTCATTCCTGCTTTCCCCTCTCCGAAAGCTTTACTCTCAAAGAAGTTATGGGTGTTCAAGTGAGGGGCACTTTTCGAGTGTTTGGCTTGAAACTGGCTCCGGGTCGTAAAATAGCTCGCTCCAATCCCTTTGTATTAGCCATGACCGCGAACAATTAATATTCAAATGCTATTTACTAGTTCTGGCTTCCATGTCTCATGGTGAGTTTTTTCTTGTTTTTCGTTTCTAGTGTTTTGTTGATTTTCTTTTTTAGTTTTCTTATTAGTTTTCTAGCTTCTGGTTCTGGTTTTCGGCGCTATCGAACTATTCCTACCCCAGCCTGCCGGAATCAGGCTGCTTTTTTATCGACCTTTTTTTAAAAGGGCAGATTGGGCTGAAAGTTTGCTTATAGTAGTACTTCGACCTCCTGAACACGAATATCACTTCCGCTTCGCCCGAAACTCGTCGATTTTGATGATTTAGGGTACTTTGGCGCCCGCGCCACAGGTGCCGGCGCCAAAACACCCTAAATCATCAAAATCGATTAAAACTTGTACACTGGTGTAACTTAGGGACGAAAGCAACTTTCGATCACTGTGCCTCTGCCAGACAACATAGCTCGATGAAATTCATATCATATCAAGAGAGAACCTTAACGATATTGTACAGAAAGCAACTGACAGAAACTCGGAATAAGACGAATTGTTATGACCTTCCTTATCCAACCATTTCAACATCTCAACCTTCTACACATAAGTCTTCACGATTTTCCTGGTACTACCAAAAGAAGTACACGGATCCTAGGGTGTGATCACAGCAATACATGCTCTGCACCGCGATCCCATACTCTCCACGAGGTTGGTAATGAGTTCCTGGGGCAGGGCATTCCACTCCTCAATCAGTGCATTTGACAATTGCTGGATCGTCATTGGTGCATTTGGTCGTGCTGCAATGCGTCTACCCAGTGCATCCCACACGTGCTCGATGGGATTTAGGTCGGGGGGACGGGCCGGCCACTCCATTCGCCGGATATCTCTCGGAAGCTCCTCCACCTGTGCTGTTCGATGCGGTCGCGCATTGTCATCCATGAAAATGAAGTCAGGGCCGATTGCAGCTCTGAAAAGACGGACATGATGTAGGAGAACCTCGTCGCAGTAACGCTGACTGGTGAGGGTTCCATGCTCAAAAATCTGGAGGTCAGTACGGCCATGCAACATGATGCCTCCCCATACCATAACACCTCGACCACCAGTACGATCACGTTCGACAATGTTTCCGGGGGAGTTGCGTGTTCCTACCTCTCGCCATATGAGGGTGCGTATAGAAATCCCATTGCTCAGCACATCGTACCCTGCTCTCATCCGAAAAAGCACACTTCTCCATTTCTCATCGCGTCCATCGCCATGCCTCCTCGGCCACCACCGAAACGGACTCGCCGCATGCGCGAGCGGTTCAATGAACACAAGCGTAACGTCGTCGCTGCAAAGAGACACCACCATGCAGTCGTCTTGCCACTGTAGTGCGTGAGATGGCTTGCCCTAGAGTCCTGTTAAACGTCGTTGCAATAGCCGAAGCCGACTGACGAGGATCTCTTCTTGCCTGCTGCACAATGTAGCGGTCGTCCCTTGGTGTAGTGTCCTTGGTCGGCCACCTCCTCGTCTTCGGGCAGCAGTACCAAAGGTTCGGAACGCTCTCCATGCACGTGAAACAACGCTGTGAGCGATACCGAACTCCTGGGCTACACTCGTCATGGTTCGACCTTCTTCGAGTTTCCCTATGATCCTTCCTCGAGTGAAGTCATCCAGATGCTCTCTTCGGGACATGATGTATCGAAGGATACTACCACAGTTCTTTGCAGCTACTCGTTGATTGAGAAAAAATTTTTTCATACCCATAGACTGCCTCGATTTGCGCGGTCGGCCATATTTGGCACTTTATTCAAGCTCTTCTTCCACCGAGAAAAGTCTAGCTTCCTGTGCATATCCCTTAGGCGAGTGGCAACATGCTCCCACACTTTCATTTACTTCCACCCAGTCATTAGTGTTTTATGTTACTTTATCCATCTCGTCCCTAAGTTTTGCACACCGGTGTATAAGGGGTTATTTGACATCCTGACTACGAATATGACATTTATTCTTGGCGCCGGCGTTAATGTACGACACTATGTA